TGGTGGTCTGGTGTCCTCTGCATCTTTGTAGTGTGGAACCAGGTGGCTGTACAGAGGAGCGAGGGGAGGGGGTCCAGTGGATTGTTGTCAGGGCGCGGGCTGATTCGGCATGTTCTGAGCGACTCGGGACCTCGGTAGGGCGTGCGCAGACCTGCCTGTCGGCAGCGGACTGATCAGTTCTTTTTTTCTAATCTGTGTGTCATACTCCTTTTCTGTTCTCCAACATTATTTTCTTATTTTTCTCTTAAACATGGTGCAACTTTGTTGACTCCAATATTCACATCCAGTATATGGACCATTTGGATGATGAAAGCCTCGGGCTGTCGAAGCGCCTGTTTCTCCCACATCCGGTGACTCACCCTCATACTTTTTTGGCCAGACACAAAGAGAAGCTTTGTCCCAGCTGAACAGAGCCTCTGGGTCCAAGAGTGGGAGGAAGATGATGGGTTCCAATTTGGGCCCTTGGCAGAACCAAACACTGGTTTCTCCCCAAAGAAATAGTCTCCTGGGGCACTTGGTCCTGCGTCTAGCAGAATAAACCTGGCACTGGTGTGGGAACAGCAAGTAACTTTGCATGAACTTGCTGACATAAGGGTTCTTGGTTTTGCTCATATGTTTTTATTTCCCTGAGCTCCAGATCTGTTCTTTCTGATTTATTCATTAAACAAATACTAACTGCCAGAGAAGTGCTAGGAAGCCAGGTATGGTGGCACATGCTTATAATCCCAGCACTTGAGGGCTGAGGCAGGAGGATTGCTGCAAGTTCGAGGCCAACTTGGGCTACACAGTGAGTTTAAGACCAGCATGAACTACACAGCAAGATCCTGTCTAAAAGGCGGGGGATTTAGCTCAGTGATTCTGCCGCCTGTCTTGCAAGTGCAAGAACCAGAGTTCAATCCCCGTACCAAAAAAAAAAAAAAAAGAAGGTGCTAGGAAGTTTCCCGGGCTCCTGAGAGTCATTAGAGTGGAAAATAGACACAAATTTCTTCCCTGTGGAGCTTCAGTTCCAGGTTCTGGTTTCAAATCTCTCTGTTGCCTGGAGGAGGGGCAAGGGTGTTAATTACAACATACTGTACATGGGCGCATTGGGTGACCATGCTGATGACCTCATCATGGGCCAAGAGTCTTAGATCATTGCCTCACCCACTTATGACTCTGTCACACAATTCAACTAGAGAAGGGAACAGGCTTCCCTAATAATGGCCTGGTGGTGCAGCCTGGTGGTTGCAATCAGCATGTCGATTGAAGAATGCACATGCCCAGAACACTGATCGGCTCTCCTTCCATGCAGGGGTAGAGGACCAGGTACAATGCTTTTCCTGTGGAGGATGTATGAAGGCCTGGCAGGAAGGGGATGACCCCTTAGCAGATCATACCAAATACTTCTCCAGGTGAGCACAGTGGCAGCTGTTTAGTACCCGTGACTTTGTATGTATGCAGTTTTTCCCATCACCCCTATTTTAGTTGTGGATCAAGTCCTTACCCACTCCTCTGCTTCACGCCATGAAGGGTGCGTCTTTACCTCTTTGTCCCCTTGCTCCTAGGACCCTTTCTCCTCTACCTGTCCTCTCATCATAGTTCTGTTTTGGTTTCAGTTAGATCATTATGTTTCCATTCTGTTTACCCTGTCATTTGTTAACTACACCAGTGCTGTGCAGAGCTGAGGCTTGTAGTACACTGTTATTCATTTTGGCTTCCTGTTCATCTTTTTATTTTTGTGGGAAGTATGTGTATTTATTAACCATTTTAAAGTGCACAATTCAATGGTGTTTACATTCACAATGTTGTGCAACCGCCCCATCTGTTTATTTTTTTATTTTTTATTTTTTAAATTCCTTTATTGGTACATTTTAGGTATGCAGTACATTTACATTTATCATTGGGTGTTTGTACCTGAACATGATGTATCTTAGTTCTTATTTTTTCCCCCATTACCTGTGC